GTTCAAGTCCATGGTAGTAGAAGCAGTCCCAATAAAATAAAATAATAATTATAATCTTGATCAATAAAATGATAATGATGCTGATGACTGATAATGATGATGACGATGATAATATTTTGGAATGTAGTTGAATGGCTTGGTGGTTGAGATGCTATAGCCACGAGTCTCCAATATATTGATTTCCTCTAGTATTAGATAGTTTTGGAGAGTGCCACCAGCGTCAGTGCCAAAAAGCGTTTTCACTGATTAGGACAAAATTTAGGCACTGGAATCCCGTCTTAAGATGCTTGTCTTCCAATCCAAGATCCTTGATCTTGTCATGGTAACAGGATTTTTTCTCGCAACCAAAAACAGCTCCACTCCCTATGTCTTATAATGGGACATACAGTAGTTTATGTAAAGCAACATTGTGTTTAGGTTTGTCTTGTGGAAGGGTGACCATTTTGGAAGAGTGATTAAAGCATAAATTAGTTTGCTGTTTGGTTTATACCATTGGCCCTTTTGCCTAAAGTTGTATTATGTACTGTTATTTATCAAATACATTAACAGATGTTGGTTTTCTTTGTTGAAATTGTGTTTATGTGTCATTTTTAATATAACCACTATCTGAGATGATTATTACTACATTATCATAATTAATTATATTTTATTTAATGATCAAATAATTAAATAAAATTATATAAATGATTATGGTAATTGTTTAAAAACAAAAAGACTGAAGTTGCAGTAATACATCTCCCAGCCACCTGATAGTGAGGATGTATGAGAGAAACGTGCCAACACTGAAATGTTAGCATCAGATGAATCACTCTGGAAATAATATTCAACAATGATTGAAAAACTTCATCAGTTTTCATTAGGTTACTTTATTTGAATTTCCTTTTAAATGAGTACTGTAAAACCTTGAATAGAAGCTACTGTATGGGCTCCTTTTTTTAAGGACCATTGGATTGTCCTCTTTTCGAGGTGGGCATCTATTCAAGATCGCTTTTTAAAACTAAATAGGGTGACTTCTTTTCAAAATAAATGCTGTAAATTTTGGAATTTTAAACTTTTAACCATACAATAAAATAATATTGATACTGACATGCTATCATAATAACCAAAGAAAACGTCAGTTTAAGTGTAAGTATGGAACTATCTCAAAAGAAGCCCATATTATCTTGATTAGAAGCCATTAGGATTCTTTTCAAGATTATTTTTGGAAACTGAAGGGCTTCTTTTGGAGATGGGCTATTCTTCTTGAGATTAAGCCCAATGGAGCGTTCTATTCAAGGTTTTACGATATCCAACAATTTTATTATTGGAAGATGGATATTGTGAATGAGATCTGAGAACCAATGCATGCATTCAGTAAAGATTTTACAAAGTGAATTCAAGCAATAACTTGATGTAAGAATGTGTGACTCTCTTCTGGAATGTTCCACTGGTGCCGCCAGGATTTCCCTGGCGGGGGGACCCACTTCCCTGATAGTAGGGGAGAGGGATTTTCCATCGAGAGCCTAAATATGCATGATCAGGAGTTGCTCAGAATTGTTTTCTCCTTGACGAATACAGTAGTAAATTTACTCCCGTGGGAGGGTTCTTCCCTACAGAGGAGCCTGGCACCACACCTACTGTATGTCCTACTTAATGCATCATGCATGTGAACACAGATGAAAAAGAATATTGGAAAAATGTATGCATGTAATATGTGGGTGTGGAGAAAATTGTTTAAAAATTTGGAGGATAGGATCACAAACAAGATACTGTACTTTTCCCTGTGTGAGAGAAATTTGCTAAAACATTGAGAATTATCAAGAAAAGTGAGTTTACATGGTTATAAGAAAGAGAATCAATGGAAAAATCAACTTGAGGCAGAAGAAAGATTTAGTATGTGTGGTAGAATGTAAGGTATGAACAAACTACCGAAATAGAGATACTCAGAGTAAATTTAAATGCAGGAGCAATTATACAAAATAACAAACTTTGGCTTCATCGTCTTCCTTATGAGTTCGGACGTAATTATAAAATTGATGCATTGAACAGCTGTTGTATAATGGACCTGTTAAATATACAAAATTGTATACCGACTTAAGTTTCGTGTATAATTATTATATAATGCCCTTGACAAACTGATATGGCAATTTCAAATTATACAAACATTTTTGAAAGCACAATAATTAGTAATTTGTTAATTATGCAAAATGAAAGGTTCATGATATGTTGACATGAAGTGCATTATCATCAATGCTTACCTGAGGCATCTGATATAATGCAGATCAAACCTGAATGCTGCTCAATGTAATGAAAATTCAAGGCCATAAAATATATATTTATATATACAAGTTGTTAGTATGCATTTTTCTTTTCCATGTAATATTTCCTGTATATTTACTTGTAATGTTGTGCTGATACAGTTGATTACATCATATGTCATTGTTGTGTTTGATTTCTATATTTACAGTAGAGGGTTTCACTCCTTTTTATCCATAAAGAATTAAGTGAAACATAATTTACTGTACAGGTCTACTTCTTTGAAGACCCATCCAAATAACGCCAACCGCCAATTAAAGACTAGTTTTCTATGATCCCAAATTCACAAATTTATTTTAATCATCATTATTCTCATTAAAGAGTCTGCTAAAATCCATGGAAACCCCAGTCCCATAACCCCAGTCCCTAATATGGGACTGGGGTTTATAGCTGAAGGGAGATCTGTACTTGAATTTTATTGGGGTGCATTGGAGTATTACATTTTTATTTATTACAGTACCTCCGCCAAGGAGGTTATGTATTCACCAATTTGTCTGTCTGTCTGTTAACACGATTATGCAAAAACTAAGGAATGGATTATCGTAATATATATTTGAAATGGTACATAATATTCTAAGAAAGAGATAGATTATATTTTGGAAAGAAAAGGTCAAAGTCAAGATCGTTTGATTTTTTTCTTGAACTTACCTTCGAGCATAAAAAAAATAATGAAATTGTCCATACACTGCCTGCGTATCGTTCGGTATTTAAAAGAGTGGAGGGTTGGATGATGTTATACGCAGGGACTTTCATCTGTAATTTGATCTCTGCTTGCATTTACTGCTGATATTACTATTGTTTTTTGTTATATTTATTAAATTATTGTAATCCATACTACATTTGCATTATTGCCATCTCTTATACGTCTGCATAATCAATTTACTGTCAACAGCAGTTGTGTTAAAAAAAAACCTTGAGCCTTTCAACGTTCAATTCCACGGCATATATTATTCTTTCTCAAGGCTTGTATGTACTAAAGTATTGTTTGCAGTTCATCACATCACTTTTTAATACATTGAGGTAGTGCACAATGTACTATACCAAGTAGCCATGATGAACTGCACCGTATAGCACACAACATACTGCACCGTGTAGTGGACAATATACTGTACTGCACCGTGTAGCGCATGATGTACTGCACTGTGTAGTGCACAATGTACTGCACTTTGTAGCACAGTGTACTGCACCGTGTAGCACACAGTGTACTGCACCAAGTAGTGCACATTGTACTGCACCATGTAGTGCACAATGTACTGTCCCGTATAGCGCATGATGTACTACACCGTGTCGCTAGCACACAATGTACTGTACTGTGTAGTGCACAATGTGCTGCACCGTGCAGCACACAATGTACTGCAACTTGTAGCACAATGTACTGCTCTGTGTAGCACACATTGTACTGTACTGTGTTAGTGCACTATGTAAGCTGCATGATGTACTGCACCATGTACCACAATAGGTACTGCACTGTGTATTACATGATGTACAGCACCGTGTACCGCATGATGTAATGCACTGTGTACTGCATGATGTAATGCATCATGTACCGCATGATGTAATGCACTGTGTACTGTATGATGTAATGCACCGTGTACCGCATGATGTAATGCACTGTGTACCGCATGATGTAATGCACCGTGTACTGCATGATGTAATGCACCGTGTACCGCATGATGTAATGCACTGTGTACTGCATGATGTAATGCACCGTGTACCGCATGATGTAATGCACTGTGTACTGTATGATGTAATGCACCGTGTACCGCATGATGTAATGCACTGTGTACCGCATGATGTAATGCACTGTGTACCGCATGATGTAATGCACTGTGTACCGCATGATGTAATGCACTGTGTACCGCATGATGTAATGCACTGTGTACCGCATGATGTAATGCACTGTGTACCGCATGATGTAATGCACTGTGTACCGCATGATGTAACTCTTATACACATCTAGATGTGTATAAGAGACAGCTTGTTCCTATTGTAAACTCTAAAGTTTTTCAACCTTTGTTGCATTTTATACCAAATAAAAAAAAAATTAAAAAATACAAGAATAAACCTAGCTGATAAATTTTTGATATAGGCAATGCTCACTGAGAAACAACTGTACATACACGCAACATATTGATGCTGATAGTTTATCATTTAAGTAGTTCCAACATCCAATTTGCTCTTGGCAGTCAAGGCAACACAAATAGTTATGTTGCGTCACTCCGCTCCTTCCCTGCAAGAATGATGCATTGAACTCACTCTTTATAAAACAAATTTTTTTTTTTTTTTCTGAAATACTATAACCTTTCAAAATGCCAAGGAGTGAATGCCTTTGGACATACACATTTGTTTAGAATATCTAACTGAGGAAGACTGCCACAGAGAGATTTACATCACAATGATAATGTCCGATTGATTTTTTTTTTATAGGCAGTGGCTATTATTACACCAGTCTAAAACCAATTTTTAATTCTGATTCTCGATGTTCATTCATTCATTCATTTCTGATTTATTCAAAGATATAAAAAGCATAATAGCATATAATTTCTGAATTGCGTCAATTTACAAAAGCAGTTTCACATTAAATAGTTAACCCAATCCATACATACAATGACATTCAACCAGAATTAGACTTAATACTAAGTGTAACAATTAATCACTGCCTTCTCTATAACATTCACTGAAAATATTGTATTCTTTCTTAACAGGTCACCCGTGTCGCCAGCTGGCAGCCCTCTCAGACAGGACCCTGCCATGCCCTCCCAAGTACAATCCATTCCTGTCTACGAGATGAAATTTCCAGAGCTGTGTGTGTACTAATTATCGGAATAAATATGAGATACTGGTTGTGGATCTTCGCTAATAATAGTAGAAATAAATGGCATGTAACACGTACGTGACGCACTGTAACACATACTAGCCGCATTTTAAAATGTATGAAACATAATATAAATGTGTACATCAGAACATGCATACTACACCACCCAATTTAACACTAATTTGTTATAGGAAAAGTATTATTATTAGAGAACGTCAAAGATATAAAAATTCATTGTTATTATTATTATTTTTTGTTATTGTTGTTATTGCTATTGTTATTATTATGTTATTACTATTACTATTATTAATTAATTTTATTATGATTATTAGTTATTAAATTAAATATATTGTGTTTATTATTATTATTTATTGAATTTAAAAAGAAAAAGAGAGGAAGAGACATAAGAATTGAAAAAGGAGGAAGTGACAAATGTAAAAAATAATTAAGAAAGAAATAAGAAAAAATAATTAGGAACATGGTCTAAAATTGTAAGCATTTTAATCACTTGTAAAAAAAAAAAACCATCAGAAATTCAATGCATTAAGCATGTCTCTCAAGACTGAGCTGCCGAAGATAATATAATATTTAGAGTAGAAATCGTGATGTGCCTTTTCCATTGTGCTTATCCCACGGGAGGGTACAGACAGGTGCTTTCTGTAAAATTGTTTATGATCATTAAAATAGTTTGTTTATGTTCAGTGGACTAGCGATCCAGATTTATAAAAGTGTTTTATATTGCGATAGCATAGATTATTTTTAGAAATAGTTTGCATACTATCGGTGCTATTTGCTAACTTATTTAGACAGTCTCTGATGAAAAATTTTGTTTGATTTCATAAGATCTCTAAATGCTCCAGCCATCCTTTGAAGTAACATCGTTTTAGTTTCACTAAGCCAATTTTCGGTTTGAACTGCGCATGCGCGTATCCTGTGTTATCCAAGGTTAATCGACATAAACCTATGTTTGTGTGTATAGAATCAAATAGATAAATAATAGTGCTCAGATAAGAACAAGTTGTAATAATCGCATCAAACATTACTCATCAACTAAAAGTGTCTCTGGCGGGATTCGAACCCACAACATCTCGCTGTCAAGGCCAGTATCATCCATTAGGCCACAGAGATCTATAGGATATCGTGCAGTTCTAACCTCCAGGCGCTTTCGCTGACTAACAGCTTACTGAAACACTCGAACATAGTGGAGCTGTGGTTATGTTGTGTGTATGGTAATTATTATGACCTTGATACGAGCATGTGCGGTTCTAACTATGAACTGGCTAATATACTTTTTGGAGTATGTTGCAAGATTATGATCAAATATTTTCACATACGCAGTGTAGACAGTGGAAAGTCTTTCAGGTGTTATTGTAGTCTCTAAACAATAAATATATCGACATTGTATGTTAATTGCATTTAATGAACATTATTAATGAGTAACTTGAGCGCACTTTACAGTCATTTGTTGTCTGCTAAATGAAACGCACCATATGGCTAAAATTGATAGCATCACTTTGGCATGAAGGTGTAGAATAAGTAAAATTTATTATAACTTGCTCGTAAAAAAGTTTAATGTCAATTAGTTATAATATATATCAACGCATTCCTATAGGTTTATACGTGTACATGTAAAAAATAATGGGCGGAGCTCTAATGCAATTGTATCGATGTTGCTAATAGCATTGTTATAGTGAATTGATTGTGATATAATTGTTTAAGAAAATAATTGTGCGGTTGATGATTGGTTGATATTGTACAAGGAAGAATATGCAAATGAAAAGAGGTTATTATATAATTGTAAATATGAATGGATAACTTAAATAATTTAGTGACCAAAATACTCGAATGTAATTGTATCGTGTTTCATGTTGTGATTGATTAACTTTAGCAGTGCAAAATGGAAAAATCACAATGTTATTCATCACATTCTTATAGTGATTTGATTGTTATATAATTGTTTAAGAAGATAATTATAGGCCTACGGTTAATGATTGGCTTAGAACAGGGAAGAATATAAAAAAATGAAAAGAGGTTATAACAATTAAGCTGTAAATATTATTAATATAGTGACCAAAAATATAAAGTAACTTTTCTCACTAGTTGATGTCCTATATGTATGGCCTCCATTCATATTACTAAGTATGTTGAAAACGTAAAAATCCTGACAAGTCGTCTGTGATTGGCTGTAATGCATCATGTATCTATAAAAACATCTATTCGTGACCCTAGTAAGTGCGCCACCTAAATGATGACGTAGCAAATGGTGTCGATGTTGTGCGCTAATATTTTCTCCTATGTTCTCATCAGGGTAAAGGTATCACATGATTTATATGGAACGCAATTGTATATCGTGTAGTGCAATAAATATCCTAGTTCACCAGAGTGGCCAAAACTGTTTTATGTTCGTATAAGTAGCCTAGTCAATTCACATGTATTTGATATACAAGAGACATTTTTAATGGTGGTCGGAATCATGTTGTTATTATACATTCTAAATTAATGGGATTTTTTCTGACTTGTAATACCGAGTTTGTCAGGTGCAAAGAGTCGAAAGCCAACTTTTTTGAACTGGATTCGTTGATGCCAATTTGAGACACGACAGCTGTTGTTTTTAGGGTGGTTTTTTTTTTCTTAAATATTTTGGATATATCAAATGAGATGCTTATAAAGCCTGCGGGCCTTCATCACACTTCGTAACACTTCGTAATGTGTCTCCCGATTTATGTCACTGTCCGACAACTGAGAGATAATGTTTTAGAGAGCACATCGAAACGTTAAGATAAGTGAGTTATAGATAGGCCTATTTTCAACTATTTCACCACCGGTGCGTGCGCTCGTTCATCGTTCTCTTTACCTCACACGGTGACCATCATTATGATTATTATTATTTTGTAGGTTTTTACATGATGTAAACTACAGTATGTAAACTACAGTACTTCCATTACCAATACCAAAAAATCGATGACTCATTGTCGTCATTATATTCATTTTAGCTGTAATCATCATCATCATCATATCATCAGCATTATCATTACTATCATTATTGCCATCATCATAGTCGTCATCATCATCATCATCATGACATGGTTGTCGTCATCATTATCATACAATCATTATTACCATCACCACCATCATCATCATCATCACCACCATATTGTCGTTATCACATCATCATGCTCGTCGTCATCATCATTATCATCATTATTTATACTTTTTATTAAAAATATTCAATATACAATAAATTTTCAGTACAAAATATACCAAGACTATAAAAATTGGAGTAATTAAAATATAATTAGTTTAAAAATTGCAAAGAAAAAAAAAAATTGGCAAACACTTCACACTTTAAAAGCAACAATCGGAACAAGTTCATAAAAATCATCGTTGCAGAATTAACTGAATTGAGGTAAATTTCTTAACAGAAAAAACATCAGAAAAAAGAAAACTGACACGCTAACAGGACAACAAAATGATTAGAATAGACTTTCAGAATTTCGAGTTAGAAACATTTTGTTTTACGATTATAGTTTTAATAATAAACCTATTTACTCATAATCATTATCACCATCAATAGTCGGTGCCAAATTCTAAGGAAGGGGTAGGCAAGCGGTCCACCCCAGCCTCTAATTTTTTTTAAAAATAAATATCCGAATTTAAGTCTAAGAGTGCTATTTAAGAATGCCAAATGAGACTCGAGATAAAGTTTTACATTGTTATTTTAGTTTTTGTAATTGTTGCTTTTTTTACAGCTATTATGATTATTATTTTATCAAATTACCACTATCAACCTAGATAATAAAACACAATGTAAAATACCATAACGTCATATTCGCCTCTAATACTACTTTTCTACAATAATACATTTACATTACACTCCACGCCAACAAGCGCCCTCAACAACGTCACACTGATCAAAAGTTGAGATTTGAAATGCATTATTTAAAGAAATGTTTTTATTTGATTGCACATTACAGAATGCTACAATGATTTATTGTTGAAAATATAACTTCATATTTATGGCTTCATCGGTAATGGGTCATGAATTCTGTGCATTTATATTAAGTATTGTGTTATTGGATATTAATGAAGATTGCACTCGCATATAATAATTGTAATGTTTAGTATGTACGGTTGTTTTTCATCGTGTTTGAATGTCACGTAGGAGAGTGCCTCGATTGTTCTTGCATTACCAACTCCAATTAAATTCCATTCTGTAATCGATCTGGACGGTATTCGCTTTCTTGTTACTGTTTTCAATTTTACTTAGTCGCTCTTAACAACCTTTATTATTATTGTGAATCATCCATTTCAATCCAGCATGATAGTTAACGTGTATCTGGCTCGAATTGTTGTAATAATAATAATAATAATAATAATATATTATTATTATCATCTATATTTTATTATTATTATTACTATTATTATTGTAATTGATGTAGATATCATGTTGATACAGTATACCTTTTTAGACCTTAACGACTGTATGCGAGCTGGATTTCGGGAAAAAAATGAAAACCTCATTTGGCATATTACCTCAGCCTCAATCTGTTCTTATTTTGTTATTATTTTTAAGCCAAAGAACCTCGGTGTACTGTAGTTACTGTTCGTTGGTTCTCGTGTGAATGCTACGATTAGTGAAGTAATAATTTAGACCTTGATTTGAAGTGTTAAGACACCGTTTCTGCAAGAATTTATCGGATAATGGAAGCATATTTTTAACTCATAATTCAATGCTACGGATTCACGACTTTAAAGCTTGACCGGTTGATGTGGAATACTCAATGTTGACGCAAACTAAGAGATTTCAATTTACTGCAGTACTAATATAGCACAGTGACACGTGTCCGGGGTCAGGCGTTTCATGTAATTAATGGTCAGCGCGTGTGCTTCTAGATGTAAATACAGTTACTTGGCTCTATCACAGCCAATCACGACAAGGAGAGTTCGGATGTTTGCATTATTATCCTAATGATAAATGTGGATTACTATATAGTTAACGTAAGACACAAATAAAATGTAGGCCTAAAAAGTGCGGTATATTAATGTTTTCTTTAATTGCAATATCACATTACACCTATTTTCCAGTAAAGACTCTTTATAAAACCGAGAAATTAGAGAGACAGAGAGAGAGAAAAAAGAAAATAAATTATTCAAATAATGAATGTTTATGAGTGCGATGGAAGGAATATTTTCATGAGTTTCTTAAGTTTCAATTATTAAAATGTAAGGTACGGGTTTTACCCGTCTCCTTATATGTTATGCTACATGTTAAATTTTTATTTACTTCCTTGTTCATTATACCGATGCAATTCCTATATAAATTAATGGTTAATTCATGTGGAACTATGCTTATCTATAAAAGTTATGTAACATTACATAATGATTTCATAGACGCTTTGGTAGATTTTAGTGTAGCCCTGTGTTGCTACGCAGTAATATGTAGTTCATAATCATAATTTATACTTTTTATTATATAATATTATTTAACAATGGTTTATACAAGTGTTTTGTATTTGTATTATATTTGACCTGATTATATGAGAGTTACTACTATTTCAATAAGAATACAATCAAGTTAATCGTATCTTAGCGCGGAGTGTGATTCCGCAGGTTCTTGTTATGACGATTAGCGCGTCTAATTAAGGAAAGTTTGTGGCACAACAAAGCTAGAAGTCAATGAGTCAACATTGTGTAAAGTTTTGAGAAGCTAAGTTTGTCAAATCAAAATACTGTATTGCCAGTATTGGCAAGGACTTGCTATAGGCAGGGCTAAATGCAGATAAGATACAGAGTTGCATCCTAGCATGAAGCTTGTGCAAGGTGGGATTAAGTTCCTTTGTTTACTTTTATTTGATAGTTGTGTATGGCAAATATGTGTTATTTTATTTCTTGTACCTTTTTATGATTATTGTGATTGAACTGTTACTATGAGAGATGTTATGATTATTATACCTTAATAATCATGTTAGACAGCACCTTTATTTGCTATTCTTACATTAGTAATTAATTTTATGCTTGATTTAATGATTCTTTCATTTTAAGTTTTCTGTAAGGCAGTAAGCCAGTTGAATCATTATCAGTTACTTTAATGGAACTTATGTTATTATCACTGTGCACCGGTTTATTGGTGTATTGATTATTAATTATTATTGTTACTTGGTAATTTTAAGCCAATGGTTTCTTACGAAGTTCAATACCATAATTAATGCTAGATATAATGAACCGATTGGTCAGTTGTGGTTGCACCTTGCAATGGCTGTACTTTTGTGGTTGCTATTATTGTTTTATGCTGTTGACTATTATTTTTATGATTGTTGATATGATTATATGGATCTTATAATTAATACTACTTTACTTTATTTTACTAGCTTGATGTGTGCTGGCATCTATTGCCCGGTCAAGTTGGGGGTTAAGATATAGTTTGGTATAATTTCCTAGTTCCTATTCGAAATAAATAACTCGTCGTTGAAGTCAACATCATCTCTCTGACTGTTATTTCTCCTGTGTTTACAAAAAGAAAAAAGATTTTTATTTTCAATTGTACGAATACAAAACATTCATTATTCATTTTACACACCTAAAATAGATTCCTGTCATTTAATTGTTTAGGCCCTCTGGAAAGAGTTAGGCCTACCTTCTTCTTAATAGAACAGTACACTCAATCAAACAATGAAAACACTGTATTAAATGGAGGCGCGTGCAATGGGACAAAACGAAAAGAACAAGAAATGTACGGATGGAACTAAATTTTCATGAATGACATAACAGTGTAATAACCCATCTCACGTAATACGAGATCCACCAATCAAAGAGGAAGGATCTATTTAGGTGTGTTTTAACTTTGTAAATAGTGATCGTTAAATTCATTAACTCAAGACACCTCCTCGAAATTGGTAATAAACAAAAACATTTATTACTGTACTATTAATGCTTTTAGGAGATCATTCGCCAAGATAAGTATGACACAAGTGGAGTACCGTACTGTTTGTGTGAGTTGTATATTATCGTGATAAAATACTTTCTATTGATAATGTTGATAATTCGATAATAATAGAATATTTATTCTCATTGTCATTGACAAGGACATTGCTATCAATATATAATATATATATGTACATATATAT